GAGTTCTTTTCTACATAAGCTCTGTTTAGTAATAGCTGAGACATGGTGTTCCCAGGAGTTAAAGAAATTGGTAGAAGGCCATGTGATACCTGACTGTATAACAGCACCCTCCAAATCAAAAGCTATGGAGTAGAAGGCAGACTCTACCTGCCACTGTGGAAAGTAGTATTTCCTCATAGAATTCCCAGATCTAGGCCAGTTTCAAGGCTCAGTGTCTACTGATTTAAGGGAAGACTAAGTTTCATTCTAGAAGAAAACTTCAACGCTGCCAAAAATATACGATAATTATTTCCATGATTTTTCTTACAAACTTCTTACCTGTAATTCTGGCCGTACTAAGGGAAAGGTATTTAACTTTTCAAGGTCTGTGGGACACAGCAGGAGCTGGCAACAACACTAGGTGTGGAAAACACTGTCGTGGTCCTCTAATAAAATTGGGGAGCTCTGGGCCAAGGATTTAGCTCAGTGGCACCATGCCTGCCTAGCAAGCACAAGGTCCTGAGTTTGATCCCCAGTACAAAAAAATACAAAAACTAAAAAACCATGAGATGGTACTGGAAGATGGGACTTTAGAAAGTGATGTCATGACACTCCACCTTCATGAATGGATTAATCCATTAATCCTGTGATTGCAGGAGTGTGTCAGTTATCTGACAAGTGGCTTGGGCATAAAAGCAAGTATAAGCAGGCACTCTCATGCCCTCAAGTGGTGCCCTCCGCTCTGTTATGATGCAGGAAGAAACCACTTAATAGATGATAGCCCCTTGATACTGGACTTCTCAGCCTCTAGCCTGCGGTACTCTGTTAAAGCATCAGGAAACAGACAGACAAGCATCAAAAGCTGCTCGCCCCTGGACTGTTACCTTGCCTGCTTTCTGTCACAGTACTTAGTGACTTTGATTGTCTCGATATTCTATAGGACATCGTGGTAGTCCACAGTGTTAATGACATGGTGCTAATCTGTCCTAGTGAATAGGCAAGTACTCTACCTGTCCTAGTGAAATACACGTATGCCAGAGGACTGAGAAAAAAGAATGAAGGCCCTTCCACATTGACGATGTTTCTTTTCATCCTAGAAAAGTTAAAAGCATATAAAACTAGACAAGAGAGTAAAGTGAACACGGGAACCACTATGATTGCCAATCTTATTTCACCTATATCCCCATTCACTTCTTCTATCCCATATTAATTTGAAACAAATTTGTGAAGTTAGGAATGCAGTACTCTGGATCATGTCAGGTTATCCCCAGTAAAGAAAAGCTGTTTGTCCTAACCTTTGAACATAGTGCCTGATGGATTACTACTCTGACCCATCTCTTGGGTGTGTTGAAGCCCAGAGTAAGAGAGACCTACAGTGTGTGCCAACAGCAGTACAAACATCCATGCTATGTGGCCCATACCTGAGAGGTGTTCTTGGTGAATGTGGGTGCTGGGTTGTCTCTGATAAGCCCTCAAGAGTTTCAGGGTAGACCTCTGGTGCTATGCAACAAGACCGTACCTCTGCAGCAATTACTCTGAAACACAGCTGTTTGCCTCCATTAAAATCAAGAGCATGGCGGCAGGGCATCAAAGGTCTGTGCAAGATATCCAGAGATACCTAGTGTAGCTGAGTACTGCCAGATTCTATCAAGCCATAATATCAAGCAGGCCAGTCAGCAATCCATCACCCAACAGAAATGGTAGATTCAGGATCAGGGCTAAGCAGGTCAATAGGGTGCATGCAAATCAATTCCATACAGCTCAGACTTCTCCTTCAACTCAAACCTTAGCCTTGTGGGGTAACTTTCTGCAACCAGTTGATAGAGGGGGTAAAATGACTCACAGATGAGTTAGTTTGACATGCTGGGACTGGCCAAAAAAGACAAAAAAAGAAAAAAAAAGGATTGTTACTGCAACATAGATTCACTTAGGGGGTAGTCCCAAAGAATGGTGAAGGGAAAGCCTTCACACAGGTTGTGGTGGAATCAGTGTGGTTGGGTGTGGAAGACCCACCTGAGGTTTGTTGTCAACAGCATAAAATGAGAACTGGAGGGGAAGATTGTGGACTGTTTATTTTCTAGAAGATTGCCAAGGCTGGATTTCCTGATGAGAACTTGGCTGTTCTTGTTGGAGGAGGAGCTTGGGCCTTGCTGCCCCTGGGAATGGCTGCTGTTCTCATCAGGGGAGTTCTGATCTTCATGGTGAGCATAAATTCCTGGCTCCAGTATGGAACCCTCAGCCTGGTAGCACAAATCCTTCACCCCACTGGTGCAGGTTTTCTGTCTTCCACCACTGGCCTTTAGGCCTTCTGGGTGCAGATCCTCAATACAGACAAGCATGAGACATTGCCATGGGCTCTAGGCTACTGGCCAGACTCATGGAGGACATTGCCTTGGACTTGAGGCCTTCAGCTGGGCTGTGCAGGACACTGCTGTGGGAATCCTTGACAGATTCTTTGGGTTTCTAGCGTGTGGCTAGATGTCTTGCACTCCACTGCATTTGACTCTTTGGGTGACTTTTATAAAATAACCCTATAAATTATGTGTCCTGTATAAAATCTATTTTCCTTGCAAACCCCAACTACATCACAGGCTAAGCTGTAAGCAGTGGACTTGCTTGTTCTTTTGCTGTAGAGGACTAAACAGTTTGACTTTCACTTGTAAGCAACAACCAAGAGCTCAGCGGAGCGGTGATTGTGCAGCTCTCACTGATGTGCCACGTGGAGTGTGGAGGAGTTAAACAACAGAAACAATGGGGACAAAGACCTCTTCTTTAGAAAGTTCTGATGTGCTTGAACCCCAATCACTCACGGGACGAGGGAGAGACTTAGCTGAGGCAAAGGAAGAACAGTGCCTCTATGGAAATATAAAGAGGCACCAAGAAATTCAGTAATCCAGTAAGTATTTGAGACAGGCACAGTAGTTCCAGTTACTTGGAAGGCTGAGGTAGGATTCTGAGACCATCCTGAGCAACAAAGGAAGACACCCATAAGTAAGTACTACTAGTATTTTAATGCAAAATTATAAAAAACAAAATTAATGCAAAAATCTATGATGAACACAATATCAAAATTTTGAGGTGGGGTCAGTATTGCCAATCTTTGCTTCACCACAGGCTGCAAGACAGCAGACTGTTACTGATCCTGGTCATTGCCGATAACCAGCTCAATTGCAGTCTTAGGCTGGCTTTCTCTGCTTCCCTGTCCACTTTCCCCACTCCCTTACTTTTCTTTCCTGGGGACCATTACACAAAATAAACTACCTCATGTAAGTTATTGCTTCAGACTTTATTATTTGAATTTAGGATGAAGGAATGAAACCCAGGCTAAGTAAAACGATGAGCAATAATACACCATTCAAATGATACTTTTGAAAGTAAAGGGAACCTGATTTCATTGGATTATTAGGCATATCATCAGAATTGTCTTGGCACTTCAGAACACAGCCTAAAGTTACAGTTAGGAAACTGAGACTCCCAGGGTGGTGGTAAGGTACAAAAACGAGCCTCTTGAGGGCCTGGAGAAGCAAGCTCACTTATACCAAAATCTCCAGGGATGACCCCTTCAGCCTATCAACCGCATTTGTCCCCACGAACCCCAGGACTCAGGCTCCAGCCCGGGGTAGCCTTAGATCTAGACACTAACAGGAAAAACAAACAAACAAACAAACAAAAAGGAGCCTAGGATCCTTGCTTTGGTTACACCCCACCCCCGCCCAGAACTGGGCACCAAGTGGAAATTCCTCCTCCTTCCTCCTCTCCCCGACTGCTTCCCTCCTTAGTGCTGGTATGGAGGGCAGCCCTTTCCACCAACACAGGACCTTACAGTCCAAGAAGGGCCTGGCACCCTGCCCCAGTAGAGCCCTGGGGGCGTGGGGAGAGTGACAAGCGACAGGGTGACAATCAGACGCGCGTGGTGCCTGTATTCACAGTGGGCCAGGCTGCTCCTAGGCTTCTGCCCAGACCCCAGCAGTCCCTCCGGGCGAGGCCAGGACAGCCCACAGCCCTCGCCCCCACCCTTTCGGTGCTGGGCGCGTGTGTGACGCGGCGTGAGCTCGCTCATCCCCGCAGGCTGCGGGCCTGATCCCCTTTTCAAGGTGAACCTGGAGGGCCTGAAGATGCCGCAGGCTGATGACAAATTCGCGAGCTCCTAGGACGGTGAGAACTGGGCTCCATTGGGCGGGTGCCCTGGTCAGGAGAGAGGCGCCCTGT